CTGAAGAAAGCAGTGGAGAAACAAATCTGAAACTTTTGGTCTGGTGATTCTGCTAAACAAAATCATGTCTGACTTGATCAACGGCAGCAAGTCTTGGCTCACATGGAAAACTGGAGTGGAAGGAACCCTCAACACCCCCTTCAAACACATGTTTTTGTGAAGCTGTGCTGCAGGCTGAAGGAAGACTGGAAGAAGGGACCAGAACCTTTTGTGGAGAGTGGAACTTGTGGTCCTCAGTAGCTCCTTATCCATTCTGTGTGCTGAGGCACATGCAGAACATGTCTAGTGTGACCAGAACCTGTTGGGCCAATGCCAGTTGCAGCAAATTGGCTGTAAGTTAGAATTATGCTTTTCAGCAAGACCCCTCGAAGCCTCACTTTTTGCTAGGTCCCTTCCCCCATGCCCAGGACAGTATCATGGTCGCTCCTGCTCTGTGAGCCTGTAAGTGGCAGCCAGATGATAGGTTCAAGGCAGCAGGAGCTAAGGAGCAGGAGCAAAGGCCCCAAACCTGTGCTAGAACCTGCATGAAACCTCCAACATGACCCAGGTTGCTCTTGCCTTGCTACGACAGTGCATCAAGGCAAGACCTATAGCATTATTTGTTTAACATCACCCAGTAAAAGCAACATGGCTTTGAAACTTGCTGGTTGCTGCAGCTTTAGGGTGGGCTAATGACTCTGTTTTCTTTCTGTAAAGGCCACATCCTTTAATCAGAAGTAAAGGCTGACAGTTCACAAGGCAAATGCCCCTCTTCGTGGATGAGCAGCAAAAAGCAGTGCTGGCACCTACCAATCTACAGTGGTGCAGTGAAATGAAAATGGCTCTCCTCAGGCTTGTTACAAGTATTCATTCCTCTTTAAAAAACATGCCCCTGGCATATTTTCTACTGCTGTAGTGGCAAAAACCTTCCTCAGCAATAGTATGAGCTAGATCAACTGGCTAAGTAAAATGGTACAATACTCCCAATGGGGGTGGGAGACAAACAGGCAGAGGATCAAAAAGCCCTTTAAGAAGCCCAGAAGACTGTTGCTTGAAGAATGGGCTGGAGGAAAGCCAGAGACTCCAGCCAGATGCCATAGTTGACAGATCTGGCTCCTCCTCATATCTTGGGTCCCTGTCTCTTTCTTTGCCATCAGGATGTGCTCAGGCACAGGGAGAAGTGTTTTTTCTGTTCCATGAAATGTGGGAGAAGCAGGGCTGTCTCTCAAAATGATCAGCATGAAGGCATCCATCACTTGTGTCTGAGGAGCAGCTGTGCAATTGAAACTAACTGTCAAGAGTAATCTGAACCTTTGTGTTTCCTTTAGCTCGCTGGTCTTCTGCACCACTGTGCAGGCACTATGCGGAGCAGCAAGTTCATGACTCAGAAAATGCTCACCTCTGTTCCCAGGCATACAGGCGCTTTTTCCTCACTGTCCCATGCACATGACAAGAGGATTGTCACTGCAGCACATTGAGGGGTAGTGAGTATTTAGAGTTGAAATATGCTTGGAGACAGAGAGATGTACATGCTTGGTGAAATACTAGGGCAAAAGCCGTCTGTAACTAGGGCAAAATTCTTCTGTGTAGGCAGATCTTCCTCGAAAGAGGAAGTTAAATCACGAATGAAATATGAACTCAAGTCCACTTCTGACCCACAGGGTGACTGAAGATAACATTCAGCAAGCCTGAGCCTTGGGTGTACCTATGGCATGACTTGCTCTCCTGACAGATCTCTAGGGCTATTTTGTCCCACCTGCTGTGGACTCCTGTCAGCCCTGTAGAGAGCGATGCAGGTGCACTCGATGCAATTGTCTTCTGCCCAGTGCATCAATTGCATCGACTGCATCAGCATGCCTGGAAGGAGGGAGATGTTGGGAAGAGGATAGGTCAACCTTTGTAGTTATTTGTATTGATTGGGTAGCTAGAGGCAGCTTAGCTGAGCCTTAAATTGATCTAGCAAGAGGTGTTAGGAAAAAAAGTAATGCTGCACAGGACTGCAGAGGGTAGTGAAAGCAGAGGCAATTATTATGGTGACTTGACAGCTCTGTTATAAATCATGTTTATAAACCTTAGAAGAGGGCTTTTCCTGCATTCACAACACCAAGGAGTCTGGGGAGAGTCAGCTTATTTATAAAGACAATAGTGCTTGAGAACAGGAGGCTTAAGAAGTCTTGACAACAAACTGAAGGAAATCCGACCTTCCTGCTTTCACACATTCTCCTATCTGGGTACACATGGTGGCACAGAGAGGCAGCCAGATAGACCACAGGTAACCCTGGTGGGCTGCCATGGCCCCATGACCCAGCAGGGAACCACCTGCGGAGCACACTGCCTCTGAAGGTGTGAGATCAGGGTGGTAGGAGCAGTGTCACCCTTGGAGGCGATCCCATGACCAGCTCCTGGGCTTGATGACCTTTCTAGAGGCTGGGAAAGTGGTAGAGGGCGGGTGCTGCCTCCCACTCCCCGCTGCACCCTTCTTTGCCCCGTGTGTGATGCCCGTTCCCCCTTTCAGTGTGGGGGACAGAGAGGGAGAGAGATCAGAGTTGCTTCCCGCCACCTCCTTCACTGCGCGGCTGTTGGGCGGGGTGACGGCGGGGTAATAGCTCGGGCAGCCTCGGCATCCCCGCGCTCAGGGGCTCCTCCGCGCCGCCGGCCGGGGAAAGCGAATCCGGCGCACGCAGCGCGGCGCACGCAACCGGGGGCGGCCCGGATCGGCGGCAGCACCGCCCCGGGGGTCGCGCAGCCGGGGCCAGGCCGCGCTGCTTGGAGGAGCGTGGCTCCATCGCTGCCGCCTTTGACCGCGTCCCGGCGGGGTTTGCGTGACAGAACCGGGCACTCCCCGCGCCCCTTTATGTAACCCGCCTCCCAGACCCGGTTATAAAACACCGCCAAGGCAAGTGCCGTGGCCAGAACCTCGATTAGACGGGAGGTAACGGCGCGGATCCGGCCCGACGGGGAGCGGTGCGGCGGGGCCCTCCGGAGCCCTCCGTCGAGCAGCGCTCCCGGCCGGGGCGCGGGGCCGCCGCACTGCCGGGGGCGGGATTGGGGAGGAAAGCGGAGCGCGGTCGGACGGGTCGGTTCGCGGCTCCGGCGGAGTAGCGGAGCCGTCCGGTGGGGCGAGGGTGGGTGGCCAGGAGGCCGGGAGGGCACTGCTTGTGAGGCGCGGCTGCTGCCTGGTCCTACCTGCCGCCTCTGCTAAACTGTTCTCAACCTGCTGTCATCCTTGCACATTCCCCCGGCGGTGGTTTGGTTTGCCAATGCTAATCAGCAGCTTTGCAAAAACCCGCATGGTGTAATAAACTACAGCACCCATACAGGACAGATGGGAGTTATACAAAAACAGGTTCAAAAGTCTATCAGGTCTTTGCCCCTGGTGTTACTGTCATCTTTTCTGACCCCCCTTCTGATCTGTTGTGCAACCTTTCATGTGTATAAGCTTTCTCCTGCTGATGTAACCAGCATATCCTTTCTTATTTCCCATAAGCAAGGCTTTCCCAGGGGTAACCAGCTTTAGGGTTCAGGATGTGTCCAAGCTAAACAACCTTTACTTCTCGCCACCACTTTTATTTTACTTATACAGGAAAAAAAAACACACCCTATTGCAACTTCCTGAGCCTTAAGTGATAGAAGAGGCAGAGAGGAAAGGGCTATTCCTGTTCCTTTAAATGTGGCTCTTGTAGTTCCATGTGCTTAAAAGGATGACCATCTCTCTCCCTGAGAAATGTAGCAATTCCTCTCTTCTTTGCTTTGTAGTTTCCTGGAAAAGGGACAGGAAGACTTACAACTGTGAGGGCACCTGTCTGAAAAGGCAGGGTGCAGGTTATGGCCAGACCTTACATAGGTAGTAGAATTTGGGGACTGTAGGCTTTCCAAGAGATCTTCACATGCAATGTCAAGACAAGAACTTGACTTTTCTTTCTTTTATTTTCATTTGCTTGTTTGGTTGGTTGGGGTTTTTTGTGGGTGTGTTTGTTTTAATAGGTGAAAGAATCCAAACTTGGTCTCCATCAGTTACAGTAACAGAAAGGGAAGCAGCCCCTTGACAAAAGAGCTCTGCTGCTGTGATTAATAAGTGACAAAAATTAATGGTTATACCCATATTGATGCAGTTCCTATTAATGTAGGCTCTAAGGCATGGACAGGAAGAACAGTTCCTTCTCTTTGCTGTTCACATGTCCTCCCTTTCAGGCGCTGAGCTCCAGAGACAGCTTATCTGCTTGAACCAGAATGCTTTATAACTGTGTGATTATAAATAGATAAAATATTTATTTTTCCTTAATGCCAGTTTGTACCATGTTTCTCCTTACTGTGTCATGTCCCGTATCTTTCCCTGCCAAGGCTGGGGGGGAAGCTCCTACCTTCAGGGTAAATGGTGCCTCCAGACAAATCCAAATTTCTCTTCCTATTTGTAGTTGTGAAGTATCTTGATACTACTTGAAACATGATAAGCAGCATGTGTAACTGTTATTTTAGTCACACTGGTATCTTTGAAACAAACTTGTGCCAGCAAACAAGGTGCAGGTGACTGGCCTTCATAAGCACAACCATCTTCCTTCCTGTGGTTCTTCATACAGGTTCATTAATAGGTTTTCTGTGCTGGCTCTGTGGCCGTGTGAGGAGAGTTAAGCAATGTTGTGCCTGAGGGAGGGGAGCTAGAGTCCCTTTAGCTTAAGCAGTAGCAGCTTGAGTTTGTAGTCCCCACTATGTTGAGCAAGAAGGTGACCATCACAAATGAGCCTGTTTTTTTACCTCATTATATACTCTTTGAGCTAGCATCACTCCAAAACCATACATGGTTTGTTCTTAAAGGCTATGTGTATTGTTCTAAATCTATGGGTTTCTGCGCTTTTGGGGGCTACTGGATGTCTTCCAGTGCGGATATCCATCATTTTGGAAACTTGGCACATGTGAGGATTGGTGTGGTGTGTGTTGGGCTTTCTTTTCCAAGACACTTTCTGCAGGAGTCTTTGCTTGCATGCCTCCTTCCCAGCATATTTTTGTTTTCCTTCTCTAAACAGATGGGAACTGCTCAAAACAACAGTAGCCTCAAAAAACTCCATGCAGCTGAGCTTGACCGACGTAACAGAGACATGATGGCAGACACATCTGATCACAGCATTATTTCTGTTGGAGGAGAGGAAGAAGTGGGCAACTTCCAACGTTCTCTTCCCACACGAGAGTCCCTCCGATCCCCTCGAGGCTCTGTTGTGAGTTTCCATAACATCCAGTACTCCATTAAGCAGTCCAGTGGATTCCTTTGTAAACGGAAAACTGTGGAAAAGAAGATCCTTCATAATGTTTAGTAAGTTCTTGCTTAAATAAAATATGAGAGGGTAGGAATTAATCTGCTCCTGTGAATCAGTGACCTCAATGTTACCTTCCAGATCCAGCTGTGCTGGTGAAGAAATTACTACCTTTCTGCCAGTCTGCAGTTCATGTGAGCACTTTCTAGTTTGCTTTTAGGTAAAATAGCTGGGATATAGCTGGAGCAGTTTCAGTGATTGATCTGAACAAATTAGGATCAAACTTGTGTGAACTCTTCTGCAAGAAGATCTAAGGGTTCCCTTAACTATGGTTCAAGCTGCAGTCAGAGGAAATGAGCAGCAGAGAACAGTTGTTTCTTCTTTTCAAGACCCCACTCAGCAGGGAAGACACTTACTTTGTGTCTTTTGTAGATTGCTTTTTATGTCCAGCTCTGGTTCTGTTCTGTCAGTCTGGGACAAGAAAGGAAAAAATACTTCTTGATTTCAGACTTAGAGAGAAGTTTTAAATAATCTCTAAGTTTTTCTTTTGACAGCATTTTGTTCACACATTTTCTACGATGATCCTTATGTGAACAGTCCTCCATTTGGAAATAACTTTTTCCTTCTTCCAGTGGCATTATGAAGCCAGGCTTGAATGCCATCCTGGGGCCAACAGGCAGTGGTAAATCTTCGTGAGTACTTTCTTCTGCTTCTTCAAATGGACATTCAGCTATTTAAAGAGGATTTGGGGTTCTGAGGGTTGGGGGAGATGTGAGGTATCTTCAGGCTCAGACCTTGCATGCCTGTGAGAAATCTGGTGATGCAGTTTGATGTCGTGTCCCTCTAGCTGCTCTGCTGCAGTTCTTGCCCTGCAGTGGTGTCACACTCCTCATCTTCTGTGATCTGTGGTCTGTATTACCACAGTCACCTTTGGTGTTGGTGGCCTGAGTTGTGACATCAGGCTGAACTGGGGTAAATGGGGCTCAGGTGTAGGCTCTGTCCTAGACCTGTAATGGGATGGCAGGGGGGATGGAAGTTCCTTCGGGGCTGGAGAGATGTTATCCCCTGTGCGGTCACTGCAGCAAGACTTCCTTGAAGATGCTAGGCTAAACCCCTCTCTGACAGCTGACAGGAATGTGGTGTAATGTCAGTCTGTAGGATGCTCTGGATCCTCAGCCTCAGCTTGGCTGTGGCCTGCTGGTGGGGGTGCACATATGCTTGAGGTCTTTGGATGAAAGCACAAAGAAATACCATGTAGACTATCTCCAGCTAGTGCTGATGCTAGTTTCCATATAACTACCGTAAAAGAACTCTTTGTCACTCTGCTTTTCAGAATGTCAGAGACTGGGAAATATGGCCAGAGTTCACATAGGTGTGCCTTTGTGGTGACCCTTGATCTCCTCTCTTAGGAGACTGCTGCCTAATCAGGATGTTTTCAAGCACTTTGTCACAGCAGTGTTTACATAGCTAGCAGACAGGCTGGCCCTCTGCATTGGCAGCAAGGAGAATCCAGTGATATGTTAAACCAAAATTATTTTCTAGAATTAATCTTAACTCTAGTCTTGTTTATACCTATTTGGGTTAATATCCTTGAGCTCAAAGTAGATAATTCTGTGCTCTGATGGCTGGAGAGCAGACTGCAGCTACTTGGCAGGGTGGTTTTCTCTGCATTTGAGGTTAGCTGTTAATACGGAGGATAAGCTTGTGTCCGTAGGGGGTTGACTGCTGTGAACTGTGAGGATCTGTATACTACACTACTGCTGTGGCACACCTTGTGCCTGAAAATCCTGACTTTCTGTACAAAGAGCTTCTTCAGAGTAGAGGAAGTCCGTTGCTGTGCCCTTTGGCTTGTAGCATGCCATTAGCAGCCTATAACTGAAGTTTTAACTGGTGGTACTTATCCAGTCAAAGGTTAAAATCAGCTATTATGGCAAAAACTAATGCCTGGTGTTTGTTTGAAGTCTCTTAGATGTGCTGGCTGCCAGAAAGGACCCAGCAGGCCTGTCTGGAGAAGTTCTTATAGATGGCATTCCACAACCTCCTAATTTTAAGTGCATCTCAGGATATGTTGTGCAGGTGAGTAACTGCCTTCGGTGGAGGGCTGGAAACCCTTGGGATGGAAGACTGCACAGGATGAGCAAAGCATGACCAACTAGGTTAGGTAATTTTCAGTGATCCGTACAGTGTCTGATTTGATAACTCAGATGTTACACTATCTACTATTTTTCTGGGATATGGAAGACAAGAGGATCAAACCGTTACTTCAACCAAGTCAAGCATGGAGGTGTTTGTCTTCCCAAAGTCACATGGATGCCCAAACCACTGGACAACTGTGGCTTTGGGCTCTGCCCTGAAGTACTAGCAAGGGTTTAAAAATATAGAAAGGTGAGGAAAAACCCCACAATGCCCAAAATCTCTTGTTGCAAAACTCAGAAGGAGTTCTAGCTGGCTGAAGTACCTTCAAGCTATCACACAATAATTCTAGGAAGTAAATAGATCCCTGCTGTTCTTCCTCTGATTCTGGCTGGCTGGGACAGAGCTTCGTTTCACTCGGAGACAGGAAAAGCCGGCTGAATCTGCGGAAGTGGGTGGAGGCCTGGACCAAGAATAGACCCTCAAAGCCCTGGGGGAGTTGAGGAGAAGGAGATTCTTCGCAACCATATAAGCAGTCAAATTCAGAAACCATTCAAGCCTCTGACTGCAGACAGATGTGGAATAGGCAGCTTTCCTGAAAACTGCCAGCTGAGGGGCTCTGGGAGCACGCATATGATGAGACTGATTCTGGGTCTTGATCCTGCAGGACAAATCTCTCCAAAAACTCAGTGTTTCATGAATGGTCAGGAAGTTTCTTGCAAGTGGTCCCACTTCAAGCCATTTTTCTCTCACATGACCAAAGCAACCAAATTTAACTTTAAAATGACAGGCAGCTAGGTGAGACATTAAATGGTCTCTCTTCCCTCCCACCCCTGTGCAGTACTCCCTAGATCAATCAGGGTGGCCCATAAACTACAAACAACACTTAATGCCTAAATACATAAATGCATACACACTTACGGGGTCAGTTTTATGCAAATGAGCATACACACATGCTAAGTCATGTGTTATCCCTATAAATCTGATGGTGTTGCAGCACTTCTCCCATCATATGGTGACCTTGAATTTTGTGCCATATAAATTTTGAAGCAGGGGTTGTCCCTCAGTCCCATTTCCACTGTCGCCCACAAACAGCTTACCCAACAACTGCCACTACAGGGACTCTGGTGCCCAGTCAGGTAGCTGAGAAGGAAGCTTTCTAACTGTCCATTTGCACTGCTTTCAGGATGATGTCGTCATGGGCACAATGACGGTGAGGGAGAACCTGCACTTCTCTGCTGCCCTGCGACTCCCTAGCTCCATCAGTGTTAAAGAGAAGGAAGAGCGAGTCACTCAGATTATCAGCGAGCTGGGATTAAATAAAGTGGCTGATGCTAAGGTGAGCAGTGAGAACACCTTTCTCAGAAATCTTACTGTCTCTGGGAACTGAACTACTTGACTCTGGGCAGTACTGCTCATGTAGTGCAGCTACAACTAACCTAAGAAGGAATCTGACTAAAGCATACTGAAAACAAGAAATCAGTCTCCAGCTCAGGAGGTAGCTTGGAAAGAGGTATGTGTATTTGCTACTAAAAAGGGAGGATTCTGGACTATGTCCAGAATGTTGTATAAGTTCAGAGGAGAAAAAGTCACCTAGTCATTGCACCTTTGAAAGTCACTTCCTGGCTTTGTGGGACAAGACAGGGAAACTGTTTTTATAGTGCTGAAAGTTGTGAGGGATGGAAAACTGGCCCATGATGGAAAAGTGCTGTGCAGAGCTTGTTCCTCCCATCTGCATCTTTACTCTCACTTTAGTTTCACTTTGCTTACCCCACTTTTACTTGAGCAGCAGGCAAGCTACCAACAAAAGGCTTCCCGGAACACCAGTGCCACCTCTGACTGCTGTGGTCTCATTCTGGCACTTCCTTGTCAGTGTCATCCTTGTTCCCTGAAGTCATAAGGTGCCTGGTACCTCTGAAAATCATGCTTTGCATACCGCTACAGTCCCTCACAGTGGGTCAGACCCATCATCTGCTGCTGGTGCTCGCATTCACTAATGAGGCTGTTGGTTGTGGAAAACCCTGAACTCCACAGCATGTGCTGACCAGGTCTTGTTGTGAATGTTCAATTTCTTGTACTTGTAGGTAGGAACAGAATTGATTCGAGGAGTGTCTGGAGGGGAACGGAAGAGAACCAACATCGGGATGGAGCTCATCACAGAGCCACCGGTCCTTTTTCTGGATGAGCCAACAACTGGCCTTGATGCCAGCACAGCCAACGCCGTCCTCATCCTCTTGAAGAAGTAAGAGTCAGTTCCTAAGGGCTCTACTGCAGTTTTGTTGTCAACTCAGTTAAAAAAAGGAATGCTGCTATGACTGAGTAGCTACAGTGCTCTTTTAAAATTAAAAAAAAAGGTAAACAAATGGACTCAGAAGTGGTAGTAAATTACTTATTTGGGTCTTGTCCAAAGCTTTCTGAAGCTGATGGGAATCCTTCCACAGCATGCATTGGGCTGGAGCCCAAAAAAGATGTAGCTTAGACAGCTGTCCTTTGCCACAGACAGGGGTGGACTGAAAGGTCAAGCCTTGCAATTGTAATTTATTGGCCTTCCAACTGAGTCTATTGCAAAGTCTCTTCCTCCACTCTGGCAACAGCCTTGAACTCAGATCAGACTTCACCTGTAGATTTACTCTGAGTGTGTACCTTCATCTCTAGATTTACTCTGAGTGTGTACCTTCATCTCCTATATTTTGGAGATAAACAGTCTTCTGGTACAAAGAGGACCAAAGAAGGCTGATTTAGTGAGAATGGGCTCCTAACCTTCCTCCTGGTTTGTAGCATGTTCATAGCATTGTTTGGTTTTGCCTGGGGGAGCTTTTTCCTCTGCTGTTTGTGGATAGAGGTCTTCAATCAGCAAGGATACTTGTTAAGCATCAGGGCTAAAGCACTTGTAAGAGCATCTGAAAAATCCAAAGCAAAACTAGTTTTGACTTCTTTTAGAGAGTAAATCTTCAGCAGAAGAGCTAAGAGAAATCTCAGCTGGCCAGACTTATGCAGGCTGCTATATAAAGCCTGGTACTGCTATTGAGTGCAGTAGGACCATTCCAGTTAGGTTGCAGCCTGGTATAGAAAATATGTGAGGAGGGTTTATACACAACTGTGGTCTCAACCTTTGCTAGCTACAGACAACATCATACTTAGTCTACCTGGACTGAGATGATGGTCCCATGTAGCGATAGGTGCTGTCCTGAAGGTCTTGCAGGCAGCATCTGACAGAGAAGGGGAAACTACAGCTTTTTTGGGTCATTACCCTGAGAAGTTGACAAGTACTTTTCTTGGATTTGGATGCTTATTTTTTGTTCAGGTTGACATGACCTTCCTGAAATGCAAAGTGTGGTTTATTTGAGAGATGTTTTGTTTCTATTTCAGCCTCTCAAGAAGAGGGCGAACCATCATATTTTCCATCCATCAGCCCCGCTATTCCATATTCAAGCTATTTGACAGTCTGACATTACTAGCTTTGGGAAAGGTGCTGTACCATGGTCCTGCAAAGCAGGCCCTGGAGTATTTCAGTTCTATTGGTAAGTCTACTGTGCCAAGAGGGAAGGCAACTGGCTAATGAGTTTAATCTGTGGGTAGGTTCTGACCCTAGCACTGGATCAGTCCTGTACTGTTTTATCACTGGGAGACTGGAGGCTGTACATATGCAATCTGAACAGTGTTATGTTAGAACAGGAAGAGAACAAAAAACCCCAAATTTTTTTAGATAACAGAGCATGTCTCTCTCCCGCCTTTGTTTTGCCTGGTATCAGGACAAAACCCCAGAATTACTTGGACATTTAGAAGCATCTTGCACAACAGACAAGATATTTATAGTTCTACCAGGCCTAGATGTCAGACACAGTGGGTTGCGAACAACAGCCTGATTTGCAGCAATCTGTATGGGCTAACTGAAGAATCTGCTCTAGTCTAAATGCAGGTGGGCAACCAAGAGGATAAAATCATGGTGTGTCTTAACATGGTTTAATTGCACTGTTGGGTGGCTGCTTCCTCTCCAAGAGTGAGGGCTTCTGACTATAATGGACAGACAAGGAGCGAGTTTCCAATATAGTTTAGATGCAGCCATGGAGACACACTGGATTGTAAGCTTTCCCTGTCTTCAAGTGAGATGTTTTAACCAATCTCACTACTTTTGCTCCTCCTCTTGGTATCCCACCTCATTTAGTTTCTCACAGGAATGCTACAGGATAAGCATCCTTGCCTTTTTTTTCTGTCCTACCCTTCACTCCTTTCCCCACCCATCCCATAGCTAGAAACCATATTAGAAGAAGCTGCTATCCAAGGATACCCCTTCCTCTTCCTTGTGACCGAGGAAACACAATCAAGAGCTGATCTTCTGCAGCAAGCATCTGAGGCTGGAGAGCAAACATCCAGCAACCTCTAGTGAGAGACTGTGTCTCTCAGTGTTGGATGTGGTTAAACAGCACTGGGAAGGAGGAAAGAACTGTGTATGCTGAGCTAGCTGAGTAGAAGCAACTTACGGATTTCTTCTCACCTGAAATCAGCAGAGAATAAGCAACTTTGAAGCTTTGTATATATACCTCAGATTCACTGGCTGCTAAGTCCTGTCCATTGAACTTCCATAAGCTAATGCTCACGGAAAGCAATGAAGTTCTCTTGTAGGAGGGTTGCAGAAGGGCGATATACTATTAGACCTGATTTTCCAAGTGTGGTCTGTGCAATACAAACAGGTTACATATGTGAGTTTGTTTGTTTTGGTTTGTTTTTTTTAAGGGTATGAATGTGAACCCTTCAACAATCCAGCTGACTTCTTCCTTGATATCATAAATGGTGATTCAAGTGCTGTAGCAGCAAGCAAGGAAGAGGACACAGGGAAAGGTAAACTGTGAAGGAGAAATCCACTGTTGGATGGTGTAGAGGTCAAGATGTATGTATTGATGACAAGCTTTTATTCTCTGGGTTTCCTCCAATCTAAGGCCACATTATCTTTTTATTTTTCCTACTCAGACACTTTGATGTGGACTTCTTTAAAGAACTCAAACTTTTAAAGGGATTTTTTTTTCCTTCAGTAATATAGGAGAGCAGTGATAAGTATCAGCAATTCACAAAACCCATGTGGGAAAGACTGAAAACCAAGAATTGCTTAGTCTCAAGAGACAGCTGACTTAAGTTTTCAGTCACATAAGAGACTGCTGCAGGGAAGACAGGGTATATAGGCTAAGGAGTAATGGATTTACAGTCCAGTGAGAAAGTTTGAAACTAGATTAGAGCAAAACTCTGTAACAGTGAGTGGAATGGTAGGAAATGCTTCTTTGAGGATGCTGTAGCATATCCATGACTGAACATAAGGGAACAGTTTTCATAACGGTGCTTCTTGGGGATGGAGAAATGGATCAGAGCCGACACTGATTTTCCCCAAATTAACAAAGGGTTTCTGATTCCTCATTCCAAGGATAAGACCATTTTCATGCCACAAAGAACTGGCAGATTAGCTAGGTTTGGTTAAAACTGTAGGGAAACCCTCCCACTCAAGTTATCCTCGTAAGATCAGAGCTAAGGCTTGAACAATTCAGATTCTCTGGGCATTCCTGCTTTATTTATTCAGCTTCAAAAGTCTTATGAGCATGTTGATGAGCCATGTCTGAAGGTTAGGTTCATGGGGAATCAGAAGCCATATCTTGTCTTTCTCACTCAGAGGTTAGCAGTGAAAATGGAGTGGCAGAAGGTAATGTGGACAGCAGTGTAGTAGATGTGCTGCACCAGAAGTATCTCAAATCCAGCCTGTATCAGAGCACAAAAGAAGCCCTGGGGAACGTGGAGCTTGGACGGGGAAGAAAGCACAAAGCATCCAAGCAGGGGCATGAGATTACCTATGCAAATGGATTCCTCACCCAGCTGTACTGGGTGTCCAAGCGTTCCCTGAAGAACCTCATCAGGAACCCACAGGCCTCTGTTGCACAAGTAGGTAACAATTGTCTGACTCCCACTGCTCTCAGTCACATAATCTGCAATTTGTAAGGTACATTTTTGTTTTGAAAGACAGATAGGGAAACAGGAAAGTCCTGTGCTGCTGCCACGGAAGTGGAGTGAGATGTCTAGCTACCTTTGTTGCTTTTGAAGTCTCCATTTTAGCTTAGCACAGGACGACTGCCCTGAAAGTTTGGAACTGGGGGAAATGCTCCATCCTCTGCTTTACATGGGAAGCTTCTCAGGTGATGCTAATTTTGTGCTTCAGATTCTTGGAATTCTAAGCTAGGTTATTCTTTGAGTATGCTTCTGCTAACCTTTTCCAGCCAAAGAAGATCAGAGAAAGGAGAAGAGTGAAGAGGATAAACTCAGAAAATTTGCCATAAAGCTTTCAATTGTGTGTGTGATTGGTATACATTGACTCACAACAGCAAAGTTCTAGGCAGCTGTGAATCTTAAACTCTGCATATGCCTTAATAATAGCTTTGTCCCTCTTTACTTATCTGAAGGACTCTCTTTTTCCCTTTCTTCTTTCCACTTCTAGATTGCAGTGACCATAATTCTAGCCTTGGTTGTGGGTGCTATCTTTTTTGGTGTAAAACTGGATCGAAGTGGCATTCAGAATCGGTAAGTTGGAAAGCCACAGCTTTGCTCATTTTCTATCTGTAGCAGAAAGGTTTCAGTGACAGGGAAGGCCTTGGGATCCACCTGGGCCACAAAGGAGGGTAGGGCTCACAACCCTCAATGCACTGCAGCATGATATTGCTGGAGGTCCTAAAAGGACTTCAGTTCTGTTGGGCTCACACATATGTGCAAAGGAGATGTGAAAGGGAAGATAAAGGAATAAATCTGGTTTTGCAGCAAAGAGTTATGGTAGCACAATTAAATATCTCTGTTCTGTGGACAGAGACAAAAAAGCACTGACTCGACGGTATGCTGATATCTGAGGATGCCAGTGTTGATCTAGGCGCTTTCCTCACTTTTTGACTGTTCTATCTTGTAGGGCTGGGTCCTTGTTTTTTGTCACCACGAACCAGTGTTTTTCCAGTGTCTCTGCGATAGAGCTGTTCATCAGAGACAAGAAACTATTTGTGTAAGTAGTGAGGCACTTAGACCATTTCATACCCTGGAGTGAGGCACAGGGAATATCTTAAGGGCTAAACAAAATTATTTCCACCAAAAGCTTGATTGTTCCCTTGCCACATCAGATTGTAACAGTAATGCTAATTGGTCTGTAGAGCAGGGAGGTGAAATACTAAGAGGTGGGGGAAGAAGGGGAGAAATAAAGTGCTTTTATTTGCATACTGCATCACAGTTTACCGAGAAGTGCTTTTCCTGCTCACTTGCCACTTTTGGTTAACAGCTGTTTTTGAAGTCTGCATGTGAATCCTGACTGTGAACCCTGCCTGCCCTCTTGCTGATGTGGTTGAAACGCTGTCTTGCAGTGGTCCTAAAGTGCAAATATGAAGTGACAGTTCTTGGAAAAGCTTTGCAGGGGATGCTTAGATGAAGAGGGCTGCTGGCTGGCTCACAAGAGCTACCTAATCATCAAGCACATCTCTCTGTTTATATATATACATATATATATGTATGTATGCATATGTATGTGAATGCATGTATATATCATATACACATATGTAAATATTCATGCATGTTGAAAATGGATTTTGGAATAGCCTCCAGCTAATGGGATGAAAAGTCAAGAGACAGATCCTGTGCAGTAAAGAAGAAATTGGAGAGTTGTGCCTGGAATGCATATCCACCCACAGGTTGCTCAGAGCAGTTTAATATTGCCCCTAACAGCTGCTCAGGAGTGAATATTTCCCACAAGGACATTTCTTGCCAGTCTGACCTGCTTACCAGCTTAGTTTACCAGCTGTGATTTTGGGACCTCACCAATTAAAGGATCTTTTTGTGAGCTCCATTAAGCAGCAAAACAATCATAGTGACATTTAATTGGCCTGTGAACTGGAGGTGAGTGGGTCTCCTTAAGGGTGTTTTCCCATTGTTGGGTATCATTCCTTCTTGCCTGGAAGCAGCTGTATGAGTTAGCTGTGGACTAAGCCTTCCTCCAGTTAGTAGCAGTCTAATACTTTCCCATGCTCTTGTGTGAAGGATCATTCTCTTTGAAAAGAGATTCAGGAGCTTTTTCCCACTATGTAACTTAGCAGTCACATAGCTTTTAATTCATTTTCCTCAGAGGTTCTCAGTATGACTGCATGGCTGTGAGACAGATCAGCCTTTACTTTACAGAGAAGGAAGTGACAGCATAGAGATGGTAAGCAACTTGCATATAGAGGATTCAGTGGCAGAGAAAACAGAAACCACATCAGGATAAACCAGACACACATACTGAGCCTGCTTCCTAGGCAACCTCTAAACCTGTACAACTCCCTTCCTGTCCTTGTAGCCATCAGTACACCAGTGGATATTACCGTGTGTCTGCCTACTTCCTGGCCTTGATGATAGGAGATCTGCTGCCCATGAGAACTGCTCCAGCCATCATATTCTCATGCATCACTTACTGGATGATTGGTAAAGAATTGATTCTTTCGTTGAACATGTCGTCTTCCAACATATTTGATTTCTGTCTTAGCCATAGTTCCTGTATCTATAACAGGAAACTATTTGAAACTTCAACTGATTTAAGTGCTTGGCATCATGACTTCAAAGGACTCTGGGGCAGGGGCAGAGACACCCGCCATCTAAGACAGGAACCTGCTTGACCACATCTTTTGGTAATGCTCTTTGGGCCTTCAGAACATGCATAGTTCCTGCCACCTCCAAAGTCGGTCTTCCTGCTTTCCCTGTCTTGTACAGGAGTCCGAGGGTCCTCTCTGGGATTCATAATGTGGTTGTTTACTGGACTCTTTCCTTTCTGTTTTTGACAGGATACCAAGCTGTTGCAGGCCGGTTCTTCTTCTTCATGCTGAGCCTGATGATGGTGTCCTACACTGCCACGGCCATGTCTCTGGCTATCAGTGCTGGGATGGATGTGGTGGCTGTGGCCAACCTGCTCATCACTATTTGTTTTGTTCTCATGCTTGTAAGTATATAAGGGGGTGTGTGCTCATTTGGTGGAGGTGAGGAAGTAACTCAGACAGCCTGAGAGGATTGGGTGGAGCCAGCCCTAAGCAGGCTGAGAATCCACAGGCCAGTGGCATCTAGGTCCCATGCCTGTGATTTTATTGTCACTATAGTCAAAAGATGTACTTCTGCCAACTTGTAATCTAAGGGTCAAATCATTGCTCAAGTGCAATTCAGTAGACGTGATGCCACCAGAGCTTTGCAGTGTGCCCCCAACAGTGTTGTTTATTGTATTTTTTAAATTTTTCCCTACAAAAATTGAAAAAAAATCTTGCATTTCCAGTATTATAAATTTAAGTGATCAATTAGATAATTTAAAAGGAAAAAAAAAACTTGAAATAAACTTTAGATTGATTCATTTTATTGAATTAATTTCTGTTACCCAATGGGATTAGCAGGAGCATACTCTTTCTTTAACTGAGTATTGTCTCTAGGTTCCAGAAATTACTTCAGTACTCTTCCTCAAGGACTTCTAAGGAAGAGAGCAAATGAGAAAGGGAAGAGAGCAAATGAGAAAGGAATTTTGACTACTTACAGATGAGGCATGTGAATTCTCTTCCAAAGAGATAATGATGTTAGTAATAAAACTTCTTGACTGTGAGGCCTATCAAGTTAGAGTAAAAAGTACCTCCTGTCAGGTGATTCCTGGTAGCTGTCTGAATTCATATCCTGAGCCCAAGGCACATCCCTTATTCTTCAATTTGCAACTTAACTTGCTTTTGCCATAAGCTAAGTGATAGCGTATCGCTTCAAATGCATGCTGTGAGTGAGAAACGTGCATGCGTAGTGAAGGGCAGCTGATGTACATTGAGTTAAGTCACAGTGTGTAAGGAATGGCACATGCACAGTCTGAAAGATAGCAGGGTAAGCACAAAAACACTTGTGCTGAAGCATAGCCTGAAGTGTCATGTTTGGCTATGAAATCCAATTGTACTAAGAAGTGAAAGAGCAGATCTTGTTCCAGACAGGAGAGGGTACACATTAACGATGTAGGTCAGAGGACGAAGATGAACAGTAACAGCCCTTAAGGATCCCCAGTTTCCTTCTTGTTTCTATACTTGCTCACCTTCCAGTCATCCTCCTTTAGCCTCTATCTGGCCTACTATAGGACACAGTCCTCCAGAGTAAAAAGCTGTTAGCATACATGCTCCTTAGCTCACGTGAATATAGAAAACCTTTCTGACCTCTTTGCAAGCAGATGAACTTGGAGTGCTGTTGGGCCAGATGGCTGGGACCACTTCAAGGTTTGACCCTCTTGCCTGTAGGCATGGGTGTAACAGCAGCAGGAGGTCCATCAATCCCGGTGCACCTCTGCTGGGCAACTGCAGTATCTGTGCAAGAATGGTACTGCTTGCAGTAAACAGAATTTGTGACTCATTAGTCTCTTCTGTTCTGTTTCAGATCTTCTCAGGCCTCCTAGTAAACCTCCCTTCTGTAATGGGCTGGCTGAACTGGCTCAAGTACTTCAGCATTCCCCGATACGGACTCACTGTGAGTAGGTAGTGGCACTGGTCTCCTGTGAGTAATGTAGCCCCCCTGCTGCTTCCTTGAGAGGTTTTGAGTATACATGAAGTTCTTTTAAAAGTCAGATTTAGCGTTTTTTACCATGAACATGGTACAAGAACAACAAATCAGACAACTCCCAGAAGGAAGCAGAAGTTAATCTCTGTGTGAGAAATGGAAGTCTTGGAGACTGAACAAATCTTTTGTGCTGTTTGGACAGCAGCAGAGTGAGCTGTCCAGTGAGGCACTAATTCCTAATCTGAATAGTTGATCCCTATGGTTTAGAATAAAGTTAAATATTGTATGGCCTCTCCAGGGACTGCTGTTTGGGTAGCAAGTTTTATATTAATGACTGTCCAACTGGTAAAAGAATTTAGCACAATGCCAGTGTTGCTTTGTGTGGCTCCATTTGAAGTGAAATATGACTTACTGACATTTCTAAATAATAAGGAGCTGGGGTAGCAGAAAGCTAAGGGTGCAGCTGCTTGAAACAAAGTAACTCACGACCCCAGGTACAACTACACGTTGGGCAAAGAAAGAAGAGATTCAGAGCAGCCCTCTGGAGAAGGACTTGGGGATGTTGGTCAAAGAGAAACTGAACATGAGCCGGCTTCATTGTGTGCTTGCAGCCCAGAAAGCCAACTGTATCCTGGGCTGCATCAAAAGGAGCGTGACCAGCAGGTTGAAGGAGGTGATCCTGCCTCTCTACTCTGCTCCCTGCCCCTCAGTAGGCTGACTCAGATGAAAGTGGATAAACTGGAACTCATTGCTGGCAAGACCGAAACCCATGACTATATCATTGAAATGTAACTTTGAATCCAAAGACTTAGGCACCAGACCATCCTCCATGTGAAATTTGGACCAGTTCCTCAGAAAGGCAGTGGTTAAGAGCTTCAAAACAAAAAGGAACATAAACATACAATTCCAAGAATGGTGATGTGTCTTCTAATCATCATCATCATGGCTTGACTTCGTGAACGAAGATTTGGGAAGGGCTTTACCCACGCTTACTACAAGCGCGCTGATGACTAAGAAGGCCAATGTGGGATAGGCAAATCCGGCTACAAAAAGCACAGCAGAAGGTTTCCTTGGGTGGTACAGGTGGGGCGTGATTCTTCCTGCGTTGTCTTTTCTCCTCGAGACTAGAACTTTGTGAGCTCTCAAAGGAGTCAACGGCATTATGTATGGTGTGCCTCCAAGTCTCCCGATTGGAGGCCAAGGTGAACCACTGATGGTAGTCAATATGGCCAAGGCTAAGGTATTGTTTCAGGGAGTCCTTATATCTCTTCTTTGGGGCATCTCTCTTGCGGCTACAGGTGGCAAGTTCACCATAAAACACGATCTTGGGGAGGCGGTGATCCTTTATTCTAGAGATGTGCCCTGCCCAGCGCAGCTGCAATTTCAGCAATGTGGCCTCGATGCTGGTGACCCCTGCCTGTTCGAGGACAGTGACATTAGACACATAGTCAGTCCAATGGATGTTTAGAATTGTACGGAGGCAGTGCTGATGAAAGCGTTCCAGGAGTCGCAGGTGATGACGGTAGATGACCCATGATTCAGACCCATATAAAAGAGTAGACAATACAATGGCTCTGTAGACACTGACCTTTGTACTTTTCTTCAGGTGTTTATTACACCAGACTCTTTTATGGAGTTTTCCAAAGGCTCTATATGCCTTTGCTATTCTGTTGTCTATCTCTTTGTCGATCGTGGCATCCGAGGAAATGATGCTTCCCAGATAGCTGAACTGCTGAACTGTCTTAAGGTCTGACTCGCCGATGGTAATATGGGGATGGCGATAATCTTCTTGGGGTGCAGGTTGGTAGAGGACTACTGTCTTCTTCAAGCTGACTTCCAGCCCAAAAACCTCAGCTGCCTCCGCAAAGCAAGATGTTAAACGCTGCAGAGCTGCTTCTGTGTGGGCAACAAGGGCGGCATCATCAGCAAAGAGCAGTTCACGGACAAGATGGTTTAGGGTCTTAGTGTGGGCCTTCAGTCGCCTTAGATTGAATAGGCTACCATCGGTACTATATCGAATATAAATGCCGTCTTGTTCGTCGAGGTCTGCTGTAGCCCTTTGGAGCATCATGCTGAAGAAGATTGTGAATAAGGTCGGTGCGAGAACGCAACCTTGTTTCACACCATTGGTTATTGGGAAAGGCTCAGAGAGTGCATCACCATACCTGACTTGGCCTTGCTGATCCTCATGTAACAGAATAATCATTTTGAGGAACTTGGGGGGACAACCTAATCATTCTAAGATCAGCCACAAGCCTTTCCTGCTCACAGTGTCAAAAGCTTTGGTGAGGTCAACGAAAGTTACGTATAACCCCTTATTCTGTTCTCTACACTTTTCTTGCAATTGTCTGAGAACAAATATCATGTCTGTGGTACTTCTATTAGCCCTGAAACCACACTGACTTTCAGGTAGAAGTTCTTCTGTGCTAGCAGGTACTAGTCTGTTCAGTTGTATTCTTGGAAGAATTTTACCAGCAATGGAGAGCAGAGTTATACCACGGTAGTTTGAGCAGTCTGACTTGGCACCTTTTTTCTTATACAGAGTGACGATGATTGCGTCACGAAAGTCTGACGGTATTTTGCCTTGTTCCCAACAGCACACAACTAGCTCATGAAATTTAGCGTGAAGTGCTTGGCCTCCATGCTTCCATATTTCAGGTGGGACTCTGTCAACCCCAGCTGCCTTGCCAGTTTTCACCTGCTGTATGGCCTTAAGAGTCTCTCCCATGGTAGGGGCTAAATCCAATTCGTTTTTCACTGGATGTTGCAGAATGTGCTGGATTCCTTCGCCTTGGACTACACGATTTGCACTAAAGAGGGTTTGAAAATGTTCAGACCAACGATTCAGGATGGAGATTTTATCTGTAAGAAGCGTTTGGCCATCTGCACCAAGTAAAGGGCTTTGAACCTGGAATGTGGGTCCATACACTGTGTTCAGAGCCTCATAGAATCCTCTGTGGTCACCCAAATCTGAACATAGTTGAGTCTTTTCTGCTAGGTTGAGCCACCACTTGTTCTGGATGTCTCTAAGTTTCTGTTGGAGTTTGCTACATGCAAGATGAAAGGCTGGTTTTCTTACATGGCAGAGTGGCTGAGCGAGGTGTGCTTGATGAGCAGATCTCTTTTTTGTCAGCAATTCCTGAACCTCCTGGTTGCTATCGTCAAACCAGTCTTTGTCTTTCTTTGAGGAGAACCCAATGGATTCACGGAGGACTGCAGGATGCTATTTTTGATATGTTGCCAAAGCGCTTCAGGAGAAGAATCTATGCATTGGTCTTCAAGCCTAGTTTGAAGGTTAGCCTGAAAGCTGTTCCTCACTGCAGCTATTTGAAGATTATCAACATTGAGCCTCCTCCTTGGAATGCCGCCCCTCTTAGGTTTGGGCTTGAAGTGGAAATTAAGTTTGCAATGCACAAGGCGGTGGTCTGTTTGGCGTTCTGCACTAGGCATCACTCTGGTCTGGCAGACATCACGAATATTTCTCTGGCGCACTAAAACATAATCAATAAGGTGCCTATGTTTAGATTGAGGATGCATCCAGGTTGTCTTCCAGCTGTCTTGCTGCTGGAAGATAGTGTTGGTGATGGTAAGCTGTTGCTCTGCACAGAACTCTAGTAAGAGATGACCGTTAATCATTGCAGCTGCCAACACCGTGCTTGCCTAGTACTCCTTTCCAGGCTTCAAAGTTCTTTCCTACTCGGGCGTTGAAGTCACCAAGGATTATGATCTTCTTTTCTATAGGAACTTTCTGAGTGAGGTGACGCAGGTCGGAGTAGAATTTTTCTTTTTCTGCAGGGTCAGCTTGCAGAGTTGGAGCATATATGCTGAAAAGAACAACGTGTTGCTTATTGTGTAGTGGAAGATGTAAGGAGATAATACGGTCGGAATGACCTATCGGCAGATTTTCAAGTTTGGAGGCTATGGAGTTTTTAATCATGAGCCGACTCCAGAAAGATGACTTTCAGTTTTGGGTTTGCCTGACCAGTAGAGTGTATAGCCAGCACCATGTTCTTTGAGGCTACCTTCCTCATGAAGGCGAACTTCACTGGGAGCAGCGATATCGATGTTAAGTCATGACAATTCATGGGCAATTAGCGCAGAACGGCGCTCAGGATGCCCACTGTTCACTGTATCAAGCATGGTTCTGATGTTCCAACATGCGAGTGTCAATCTGGACACACCTTTGGAGGCAGGTGTATGCCTTTGTCTCTTTGTCTTTAATTGACCGCAATAGAAGATGCCCGTTGGCCGCGGCTAGCCAACCAGGTAGAGGGGGAGATGAGCTTTGGTTAGGCCACCTTTTCTAGGCCTCTCTCCATATGGAGCAAGCAGTGCTGTCCTTGAAAAAGGCTGCTTGGTCATTCAGGATGCTGCCAAACAAGACTGTCATCTCCTGGGTCAGACTTGAGCGACCAATGTCCTGAACTGCCTGCATGCAGGGTTGGGTCTGCGACTTCCAGTGCACCTTATCACCTCCCGTTTCGTCCCTCGCCTGTCACTACAGGGCTTTGCAAGTGTGGGTAAACCCTTTGGGCCTGCACAGTGGATTTATTTTAGGTGAGGCACAGCTTGCGCAGAACCGGCCTCACCCTTTACACCTGAGGTTTATCTGCCAGAGCCTAGCGAGCTTGGATGGTGGCAGCAAAGTCCTCAGGTCGTAGGTTTAATTAGAGTATCCTTCTCTTAGATGGATAGCCTTACAGGGCTACATGAGCTCCATCTCCCTGGGTTTGAAGTTGGAGTTGTCCTTCTCCTAGGATGGTTGCCCGAAGGCTAGTGAGCCCATCCTGCCCATGGACACACTTTGTCTGACCCTTCATTTGAGAGCTGACTGGCATGGGAGACCCTACCGGAAGCATAAGCCACCACCAGCATAACTCCCAACTTCACAAGGGCACGCAAGCTCTTTCCCCACGACAAGGGGGTGTCCATGAAAGAGTGTCTTCTAATAATCAAGTTAGTTTAAGGTGTTTCAGTTTTAGCATTCCAAATAACTAACTGTAAAAATGCAATGTCTGCCTCTTTCCCTAGGCTCTTCAAGTGAATGAGTTCAGAAACCTCTACTTCTGTGGGGAGAAGAATCCGAATGTTACAGTGCCTGCAAACAGTTGTCCCCCTGATATCTCAGGAGAAATGTAAGTCTCTAACTCATGGTGGCCTGAATGGTGATGACTTGCTTAAAGAGAAGTGTGACTGTTTGAAATATTTATATTATTGACAGAATAACCACTCACAAGCCAGTCTCAATAAAAAATCCCAAGATAATGCATTTTAGAATTATGTAGTAAAACTTCATAAAAACCCAACAGTGAAGTAAGGATGAAATGTTAGTCCTAAAAGTAGGCAGATGAGCAGAATTAGATTTTGGGTTTTTTAACCTAGCCCTACCTTATCAGTTTTCTTAAACAAATGCAGGGTCACTTAACAAAGGAAATGCACTGTGTTGACAACTACAAAGTTGTTGGGAAGCAGTAGACCCGTGATCACAAACATGCCTGCCCATCAGAGTTTGTTTGTAAATATTAACCTCCCTCCAGATACAGGAGAGTACCAAGGTATCTATCTCCCAGTGCTATTGTCCCACTTGGAATACTCTTTGACTATTGATACCTTAAGCTGTAGCAATATAAGTATTTTGTGACCCCAACTATTCTATGATTCTATGGTAGAGAGCTGGCAAACTGAGGTTATTGCAGGGAACAGTGCTGGAGCAGTGTTTCCACAGTTTTTGGACCCCAAACTGATGCTATGGACCTCCACTGTTTGCTCTGTGAAATTAATGCTTCTGTACTTGCCATGGTTTAATGTGGTGCTGAGGTTTACTCATAAGTTGCCAGCTACCTATAAACAACAATTAGGATATCAGTGAAAAAAAATATGAGAAACAGAGAACTAGATTTGTCTCTTAAGCTTATTTTTGTAATGATAGGTTATGAAGTTCAGAAACTTAACATGAGCCAGCTTCAGTGTACGCTCGCAGAGAGAAAGCCAACCATATCCTGGGCTGCATCAAAAGGAGCGTGACCAGGAGGTCGAAGGAGGTGATCCTGCCCCTCTGCTGTCGTGTGACCTCAGCTGGAGTATTGTGTGCAGTTCTGGTGTCCTCAACATAAAAAGGACATGGAACTGCTGGAAAAAGTCCAGAGGAGGCCACAAAGAGGTTTGGGGGCTGGAGCACCTCCCCTATGAAGACAGGCTGAGAAAGTTGGGGCTGTTCAGCCTGGAGAAGAGAAGGCTGCGTGGAGACCTCATAGCAGCCTTCCAGTATCTGAAGGGGTCCTATAGGGATGCTGGGGATGGACTCTTCATTAGGGACTGTAGTGATAGGACAAGGGGTAATGGGTTAAAACTTAAACTGGGGAAGTTTAGATTGGACATAAGGAAGAAGTTCTTTACTGTAAGGGTGGTGAGGCACTGGAATGGGTTGCCCAAGGAAGTTGTGAATGCTCCATCCCTGGCGGTGTTCAAGGCCAGGTTGGACAGAGCCTTGGGTGACATGGTTTAGTGTGAGGTGTCCCTGCCCATGGCAGGGGGGTTGTAACTAGATGATGTCAGGGTCCTTTCCAAGCCTAACTATTCTGTGATTCTGTGAAGTTACTCTCTTTCTGTCCTGTTTTGCAGTTGAGGGTAAAAGAATCTTTGTGGGACAGGAATAAAAACAATACCTGAAGACTTGCACCACATAGTATTACTAACTTCTGGCCCATGCTCTTCTGCAGGTGTTCTGGTGAAGCGTACCTGTGCAGCCAAGGAATTGTACCTACCAACTGGGCAATGTGGGAAAACCTAGTGGCTCTCTTCTGTATGACTGTTATTTTCCTTATCATTGCCTATGCAAAACTCCGTTTTATGAGAAAGTTCACATAGACTTGCTTGCAGCTTCTCTTGTCTTAAAAGTGCAAAGCTTGTTAGAACCTACTGGAAGTTGCCAAAAGATTTCAGCTGACTTTACTGAACTTCAGACAGGAACCCTGTCTCCTTGTTTCTGGAGCATGATCTCCATGCAATTATGTGATTTTGGTTTTTAAAAAGAAATGCATTGATGTACATCATATAAATTACTTTTTTTTAAAGAATACAATTCTTATAATTCCTTATGTACATATCAAACTATATATTGTAAAGCATTATTCTTCTGTGGCCAACTTAAACAGGAAATGTTCAGAGGTAAATGTGAGCTTCTTCATCACCATATACAGGTGATATAAGGTGGTGATGGTGTTTATGCATTGATATACTGCCCCTTGATAGTGCCTGTCACACCTAAGAGCTAGAGACCATTCACAGCATGCTGGAAATGCATTTGAGTTTGAAGTCAGTACAGGGAATGAGCACTCCTTGCCAAGCAAGAACAGTTGTATTTCTAGTCACTTCTCACTGGAAGCTACTTGCAGAAACAACTTTTGCTTGGCTAAAAGCTAAACAGCAGTGGTGGACAACGTTTCGCCTAAGAAGAGTGAGTTTTGTTGTAAACAACAAACGAACTCCCCCACCCCGTGCACCAACCCAAACCAAACAACCCTCCCAAAAACCCAACAACAAGAAAATGTGCATTTTCTACTTAAAAGGAGAGGAGGAAATTCACTTCCTTCTTTTTTTTTTTTTTTTTGTTCTTTTTTCTTCCAATAAAAAATCATATACTTGACAATGACACATCTTAATGAGTACCGGCACTGTCTATATATAGTACTACTTACACCATGGACTGAAAAAGCTCATGTAGACACTGCTGTGGCTATCTACAGCAACACTTATGCAGTCGCCGCAGAACAGAGTGTAGCATGCCAGCAGCTGTCTCCTCACCACATCATTAGCATCACAGCTCCTTCTAAGCTGCAGTAAGAACCTCAGATGCAAGTGGACCAGCTACGCCAAACGAAAACATCCTCAAACACAAGGCTAAAGGGTTTGCTTGTGAGGGCTGCACTAGTGTGCAGCGGTGAAAGTGCTTCTGGTACTCTTGCAATATGTGGTTCAGTTGTGGTGTTATTAAGAGTGTTATGAAGAGGGAAATGTACTGACAGCACAGCCACGTCGAGCACACGGCATTCTCCTTCTGAGCTGCTTCAACTGCCTTGCGCACCCTCCAAACCCCTGCTACACGCGGTAGCGAATGCCATCCCTTACGATGCAGCCAGGAGGTGGGACAGGCAGGCCCGGACCTACGTGCCTCCCATTCCCCCCACAACAGCTCCGCGTGGCCGTGTACTGAGCGGGCTGGGCGGTGCGGTTCCACCCCCGATGGACGGGGCCGAGCATGCGCCCTGGGGCCAGGGGCGGGGCCGCGGTCTGCGTGGGGTCCAAGGCGGAAGCGGGCGCTGCGTGAGGGGGCCTGTCCCCATGGCGACCGCTGCGGAGGGGCTGACGGAGGCTGGCGCGCAGCCCGCCAAACGTAAGGGGCTGGGGGGCCGTCTCCGGTTTCGGCCCTCAGCTGCATGGCTGTGGTCGGGCCCTGCCAGGCCGCGGCCCTGGCCCGGTGGAAGAGCATTCGCCCCGCGGAGGGAAGGATGGGGACGGGCTGGGGCGGGCTCGCTGTTCCCGATTCTCGGCCCTGGAGCCCGGCGGCTGCGTCCCCCCAGGGGCTCACCGCGTGTGTCTGCCGCACCCCGCGGCCCTGCTCCTGCCGGCGGACGCTGCGGGGCTCGGGGCAGCCTTCGTTTTCAAGCCGGCAAAAGCTGCCGACAAAAGAAGGAGCAGCCTCTCGGGTTGAGGAGGAGGTGCTGAGCTGCTCCCACGAAGAGCAGAGCAGGGGCAGGTTGTGTAGTAATGGGTTTGGAGAGGAAAAGCAGTGATCATTGCTTTCTGTAGGTGGGGATCTGTTGTAGCTCTTCGTGAAACCGACCGGGGGGGGCGGTCTTTATTCTGATTCTGTGACTAGAAATAAACATCAGTAAGATTGTGCACAAAGTCTGTCAGAAGTTATCCCCAAATTCCTTTTCTGTTGTATAAGCACAGGAGGGGGCTGCTGCTTGCAAGTTCGGGTGCCTGTCCCTTAAGTGCTTCTCAAAGTATTTTGTTGAAATTACCTTGCTGCTACTTCAGGGAAGCTGCCTAGGTTTGTTACCGTTTAGTCTGAAGTACACAACTTATATGGCAAGTAGGTGTAGTCAGTTTGAAGGGGAAAAAAAAAAAGTATTTGGGACCATTAGTCTGTTTGGTGTGTTTCTGTACTTGCTGCCTTTCGCCTAATCTATCTTGCAATGTCTGTACTCTGATCAGAAGAGCCTGCTGTTGAAACAGCGGAAGAAGCTAAGGAACCAGCAGAGGCAGACATCAATGAACTCTGTAAAGACATGTTCAACAAAATGGCCACTTATTTAACAGGTGAACTGACAGGTAAGGCACAGCAGTACTGACCTGCAAGTGAGTTTTTGTTTCTTTTCATTTTCTTTTAAAGAGATCAGTTGTGTAGTTTGTCTAAAATGTACCTATTTAGATCATAACTTGCAAGACTGGCAGTTTAAGTCTGGCGTGTTGCTAGAGTACTGACAACACTAACGTCAGTTATATTAATGAAGTCCCAGAATAGCACAAATATTTTTCAAAAGAATTTAGTAAGATATCAGCAACTTAAGAAAATAATATCTTTTTAGTCTTGGAGAAGATAGTACATGGAAAAAACAAACAAACAAAAGGGGTCTGGGTTAAGAAGGACTAGGGGAAGAGCACAACTGAGAAGGGCATGCATGCATCTGTTTTGTTTCAAAGTGATAGCAAGGGTCGTGCACATTTTCCACCATTTGTGCTTTATTCTGAGGTGCTGTGCGACATTAACTGGACCAAGTAAACTGCTCAACAAGTCAGTGGGTTCTATAGGGTCTAATTTTGAAAGCAGGCCACAGAACTAATTTGCCTGGACTTGAAGAGTATATGGTACAGGTTACCAGTCTGGATTTGTGCTATCAGTTTTGTAAATGTAAGTTTAACTGACAGAATAAGAGCAAAATATGATAAATTAGCCCATTTTTCTCTTAAAAAAAAAAATTGCAAGTCAGTAGGTATTCATCAGCCCAGTTGATTTTTCCAGTTAAAAAAAAATCATCCCTCTTTTTCTAGAGCGTTATAGTAATACCCGTATTATCTAAACTATTCTTTGTTACATTTGGCTATTGGTTTGAAATCTCTTGTCCTGTTGAAGAGTCTGCACCCAACTCACACTGCATCAACTTTTAATTAAAATAAACTTTGTTTTTTTTAAGCCACCAGTGAAGACTACAAACTCTTGGAAAACATGAATAAGCTGACTAGCTTGAAGTACCTAGAAATGAAAGATATTGCTATAAACATCAGTAGAAATCTGAAGGATTTAAATAAAAAATGTAAGTAAACCAAATAAGGTCTTGTATGTTTTTTTTACAGCTATAGACTACATAGAGTAGTATAAGAGAAATTACATCTAATTTTATGTCCTGTTTTATTCCAAGTTTTGGATATAATAGGAAATAATACTTCTCCGATTCATGTTGTGTGTTGCTTGTGTTGAGTCTAGCCAGTACTCTTAAACTTTTCATACTTTCCTGAAAGAAGGCTGTCTGTATCACTGCTTGATTTTGGGGCAGGGGAAGGCAGAAGCTTTTAAATTGTTCTATCAGGAGAATGTAATAAGAAATTCTTGTGTTTCAAATGTGAACTGTTTCTTGAAAGTGAATTACTTGAGAAATGACAGAAATTATTTTTCTCCTTTTCAAGATGCCGCTCTTCAGCCATATTTGGAACAGATCAACCTAATTGAGGAACAGGTTGCAGCTCTGGAGCAGGCAGCTTATAAATTGGATGCGTATTCCAAAAAACTTGGTAACTATTGTCCTCTACTGTTACTGTGTGGCAGCATAGCAGCTACTGTGTAGCATTGCAAGGGGATTTAAAAAAACAAAGGAAACTCCTCCTCTTTAATAAATCTGAGCTGCAGGGTTAACTGTGCTGCTTTTGAGCAATGAACATTGTATGTGAAGTAGTAAGCCTTGGGAAAAGATTAATATAACAAGTTCTATGGAGGTGGCCTAGTTATAGGTATTATAGAACTACAGATTATTAGTGAGGCTCGATTTCTCTTTTTCAATATGCACTGGCTGAAATTTTAAAGGCAGATGTTTAATATTGCAAATAGAGGAATTCATAAAGTTCCACCAAGCACCCAAGTCCTCTTGGTTTAAATCAGTATTAGCTGTCTGACTTAAGAACCGTAAACATTTTGTTGCATAATTATACTTGCCTAAATGCTTTAGTAAAAAAACATCCTGAGTGATACTGTAAATTAACTTGAATTTTAAGATGTTTAACAGCTTATAGGACTCAAAGCTTTTGCTTATCCAGACCTAAATAATTGTTATCTTTTCTTCTGCAGAAGCCAAGTACAAAAAACTGGAGAAACGGTGAAATTACAACAGTCTTTAAGTTGGAGTTGGGCTATGAGTCAGACTGATTTCTGTCTAAGTTGCACAATAGCAATTGTGTATGTTGACAAGTATTTGGTTACAACTAACATCAAAGCTGATAACTTTTTCTATCTGTTGAATACAATAGACTGTATTCAGGCTTAAGGCTGAATAATATTTTCCTCTTCTCAAGAGGTTCTATTGCCTTAGTTGTTCTGCAGTGAAAAGTATAAGCCTGTTCTTAACCCCTATGTTGATACTGGCTGTGTGTTAGTCCTATGTCCCACATGAAACAGTCTATCTAGGAAAAGCCCTTCATAACCTATAAAGACCTTATCCCTTAGTAACAGCGAGACCTAAACTTCATTTTTATGTTCACTGAGCTCTGTATTGAGAAGATACCCAGGCCTTTGGAGTTATGAGCATGGTATTGAGAACACTTCATTTTGGTATCCACCTTTATCTGTTTGAAATAGAGAGACTATTATAAATTTACAATAAAACAACTTGCTGCATTTGTCTCTCACGAATCACAAATTCCTGTTGGAAAGATTATGTAACTTTTTTTAATTAAAATAGGATCTGTTAATAAAGAGAAACTCCTCCCAGCTACTGGAGGTCATAGAAAAGAACATGTTTTAAACTCTGTGTCAAGTATTCCTGCAATTATATTCTTTTACTGTCAGGACCTCAGGTGAAGTGGCAAGGAGTATTGCTTTATCACATGCTCACCTTACT